CCCCCCCCCCCCCCTTGAGAACCTCATCACAGAGCTATCCAGTAATTTACCTTCTATTTTCTACAAATATCCAGGCAGTTTGAGAGGGGTTCGAGACACGAACTCGCAATAATGATTATCCTTCACATAAGTCAAGAACTGGTTTTTCAACGCTTAAAATACGACAGAGCACGTATCCTTTCCATCTAATTGTAAGAAATACAACATTTTATGCCAGTCTCTCCTGCCTAAAGCATGACTGTCCATGGTGATGGTTACCTTGTCTAATAAACTAATGAACATCTGCAACATTGGTTCATTGCAAAGGGTTGGCTTGTTAATGCTGAATTTGGTAAAAAGGGCTTATTAATTTGTTACTGAAATTTCAACTATTAGCGACGTTCGTTGGTGTTGCTTCTATGGAATGGAAATTGATTCATCCTGGTTTTCTTCACCTGACGTAAATATGGTGAGCAACTAAAAACGAACATACAGCGGTTTACGCGGGTTGTGTGAAAACACGTGCTGTACGTTGTGGCATATTAAGGGTAGAGAAAGGTGTAAGTGCCCCACCCCAACTCACCCCCCTCCTGCATCCGTAGCGTAGATTAGTTTCTTGAAATATAAAAAATAAAAACTTTGAAGCGTTAGCAACAGGAATGTGATTTCTAAATTAGAAGTAACTTAAAGTTGCGTGCAACTTTGTGATCTGCATTATATAAACTGCGCCAGTAGTGTCGAATGTAAGTCCAACATTCTCCTTGTAGTGGTGCAATGACAAAAAACGCCTAAATTGACGTCAATGACAAGGTACCTCTAGGAGACGTTTAACGGAATCTCCCATATGTCTGTGATCATTTAAGTGGTCAAGAAAAATCGATATTTAATAGAGCACGTCATCGCCTGTTTTCGTCTTCTCCTGGGGCAGTAAAAACAGCCACAGCGTGTTGCAATTGATGTAAGTTTCTCATTACTCATTAACTCTGCTGGATACCATGCTTGAGTGATATGGTTACGCATAGTAATATTCCGGTTTCTAATCAAGAGACACCAATTCGTGTATGTTTCCTAAATCAGACTGAACACTCGCTCCTTTTTCCGCAAAGTATCACTTTCTTTTGGTTAATCTGCGGTGAAGCTTTGCTGATCTTATTAAAGTTTGCTAATTTTATCCGAGTTAACAATCACCATTGCTTTGAGTAGTCGTGAGGTTTGATTCACAAATGTGAATTTCATTTCAGAGGCGTCTCTGGTTCATCTTTGTGCTGGACTACGTGAGATTTGTAAGAAGGAACGAAACATGCATATTCCAAAGTGCAGCTGGCAAAATTACATTTGAAGACAAAGAAAATAATACCTTGGCACCTGTTTTACAATTTCTAATTTTCGGGCGGAGCTGCATTACTGGCCTATTTTCCTAACAATGGTAACGAAATGTTTTATGTCTTCGACTCTCGGAGATAACGTTATCGAACACCTTCATTGGGACGATTAAAATGTGCCAAATAAACCAGACAGTTTCCTTTTATTTTTATGATGTGCAACAAAGGCAGGTCACTTCAATGCAAACAATAGTCAATATCGACAACTGTCAAAATGGAACTATCCAAAACTGTGGTAATGGACTTTGATTCTTAAACACGAATTCATTTTCTACATTCAAATGATAATCGCAAGAAAGATGAATACTTTTGAAAGAATAGCGATAATTGTGCGTAGACACCCTCGTCATTCTTTCCAACTAAAGTAAATTTAGATTAACCGTTTTTGTTGTTCACAGCTTTTGTTTCTTTCAGAAAACGAACTTAAGAAACACCTAGCCAGAAGAAACAGAATCACTGGCTACCTCACCTTCTCCTCAGGAGAGTCAGTAAAGCACTTCTATCCAATATACCTCCACCTTCCAATGCTATTATCATTGGATTCCATTTTCTTCGGCCTTCGTTTATTTCATTTGACAAACTTCTACGTGTCTTTATTGTGTCAGAGTATAATGAAGAAAAACACCGAAGCGTTTCAAATATTGACCCCTGTGGTCAGATTAATCCATTAAACTACTTCAAACAATTAAACTACTGCTGGCAAAGCACTAAAAACGTCGCTTTTGAAATTTCTACCAACCTGAATGGATTTATGAGTGAACGGCAAAAGAAATGAAGACGTTATTTTGGTAAAGAGCAGTAATTCCATATCGCCGAGGAGTGAACACGAGCGTGCTGTTTTAATTGTTCGATGAACTTTTCAGCGTGAAATACGTTCTTAATGTAAACTAGTTGTGGCCTGTAATAAGTCAGTTCTTGTGTTAGTCAACTATTCTGCACAATCATTTTTGTCCTTAGTTTGTTGCCAATTGGAAAGTTAGTATTAACGCGTTTTAAAAGGATCCCCAAGATTATCCAGAAAGCTACGTGAAATATTGGAATTGAATTATAAGTTTCCCGATCGGGGAGCTCTTTGTCCTCATGACGTCCTACTTGCTCCGGGTAGAGCCGTCAGCTGTCAGAGAACACAAAATCAGATAACAAATAATATTTTGGTAAAACAGCAAAACTTCGTAATAATCAAGTTATTGTCAAGTGCCATTGCCAAAGATGCTAATAAACGCCATTCAATTGCACACAATAGGTGTTGTTCTTAGTTGTTCAATGCAGGCTTCCACTCTACATGAGCATTTGTTACACACTCACAATTAAAAAGAAATTGCCCCTGGGTTTTTTTTAACGAATACAATCACTCTAGGTAGAGAGAAGTTATTTTGCCCGCGAAAGCAGCAAGCAGTTTGCACATGTCTGCAGGAGGTAGAGAACGTGAGTAAAATTTCAAGCTAATTTCAGGCTATACTTATTTCCTGAGTAAGTTATTTCTAAAGCGAGCTTAATTAAAGCTCAATTACCTTCTAAAGCTTTGTGGAAAAGTGTCAGCAAAGGTAAGCCAAGGTCATTGTTATTCTATTATCAAGTAGATGTTCGCGTACAAAACACCGCGTTATATGTGTGATTTAGCCAAGCGCCATTTGCACCTGTGCGAAAGTTGTTCATCATTGTTCATACACATGCTTTCCTTTTTTTCCAGAGTTCGTGAGAGAATCTTTGAATTGAGACCTATAGCCTCATTCTCTACGAGCAGGACCTGTCACTTCACCTGGGAGGAAAGGAGAGAAGCAGTTTAAGAAGTAAACTGACGACCAATTCAAGAAGCATAGCCGCTACGCGTCGCAATGGATAATTTTAAAAGACAACCTCAGAAACGCCCTCTGCAACCTGAAGATTCAGTGCCATCAGAAACTGATCAAGGACCACTAGCGGCCAGAAAGCAAGAATCTGGTGATGGCAGCAGATCAGGAAGCAATTCGGAATGCGATAACAATAACCGCAACCCACACCGTGATGACCTTCAGATTGAATCAAACACGGATAACAAGAAAACGCGCACCCACCGCAAATCCCGACGAAGACCTCCTTACTCTTACATTGCACTAATTGCAATGGCGATCCAAAACTCTTCTGAGAAGAGATTGACTCTGGATGGTATATGCAAGTTCATCAGAGACAGGTTTCCTTTTTATCGTGATACCTACCCATCGTGGAAAATTTGTATCCGCAATAACCTTTCTCTTAACGATTGCTTCATCAAGACTGGAATAAAATCTGATGAGCCACTTAAAGGAAACTACTGGACACTGGATCCAGAGAGTTATAATATGTTTGAAAATGGTAGTTTTCTTCGAAGGAAAACCAGGTTTAAAAGACAAGATCCCAACAGAATCGAAGCGAAGTCTATCCCTGTTGTGGAAACGGGAAGGCACGCTTTCTCTTCTCCCTTAGATCTCCACAATAGATTTGGTACATCTTCCTTGGTGCCGCAATTAAGTTTTTCAAGTCTTGAACCACACAAAATGCCAGGGATTACTCCTTTTGGATTCCCCTTCCAGTATTATAGTCCTCCGACCTCGACAGATTCATTGTTTGTTCACTCACAGTTACCATTTCTGCCTTATTACCAAAATCTTAACTGCACACAGTGCAACCTTTGTGAGGGCTCCAAGCAATTTCATCCTTATTTGAGACTTTAGTAAAGGTAGAGAGAAGAGACAAAGTGGAAATCAAGCTGATAATCGGACGAATAACTGAAGAAAGAAAGATGACGAACTTATGAGGAAGAAGAATCCTTGAATGTTCAGGTTGTCTATACGACTCAAACATGTCATCCAAAGTGAAATATATATCCTGTACAAAGCTAGGTTACAAATTTATGTATTTTGAAAAAACTTTGCAAAGTAGGAAAGGTCGAGTAAGCTTCTATCAAGCCCCAGATCAAATTTGAGGAAAGGACAACTTAATTATATCGAACAAGGCTATTCTTGTTACCTCTACAAGACGTTCTGGAAACAAGATAACAATTTTGTATCTCCATTTGTCAGGTATAAAGCGGCGAGGCTAATGTATTAAAGTTCACGAAATATTTCATGTTCTGAAATTGTTAAAGAATGGGTAGAGAGGATTTAGATGGGGTTTATCTTGAATAATTCAAAGTTCTTTCAAGATTGTGTTTTAAATGAGGGCGAAACAGATAAAAGTTCAAGTTTTAACGCTCATTGTTACTACTTAAGGCTGTGTCGTTCTTAGTCGATTGAATAAATGTCGTCTGATGTGCAAAAAATGATTTGATCACGATCCGGATTGTTACGTTAAATTCATTTAAAAAAAACGTAATGAAGTTTTCGAGGCCAGGTTAATAGACAGGCAGCAGACATTTCTTACTATCAAAGCATATGTTTACAAATAAGGGGCTTGCTTAAATATACACTATATGTTTATAGTCGTTGATTTCTAGACGTGAATGAAACATTTTGCCTTCCAGCCCAGATTCTACTGGGTTTAATCGATCTCGGTGATCGAAGGCTCTCCCATCGTTTACCGATAACAGATTTTAATGGTAGGCTGGCAGTCATAACCAGGTGCCGGTTATGTGTGCCACCCTCAGATGAAATTTCGGGCCATGCGGTCGAGCTAAACTACCGCACCCCTGGAGTTTAAAGAAGAAAAAAACTGCCTTTGACTCTCAGCGGTACGCGGAAATCAGGAGGTCCCTTCTTTTGTTCTCTCGAACAAACCCTTCTTCCATTGTCAGTAAACTTTCGGTGTCAAAGAATAGAAGATAACATTTATCGCCGTTTAAATCCTTTTGCTTAGAAAGTGTATTTCTTTCAGACACTGATTACAATTAGCAAACCGCGTCTACGGGACGAAATACCAATTTAATTTTAGCTTTTCGAAAAGTTTTAAAATGCTGGTCGGAGATCTGCACAGGTAAACAGAGTTATGTGAATTATAAGGTTAGTTGCTTCTTGAATTTTGTTTTACTTCTATCCCACGCATGGTATGAAAATAACCCATGCCTTAAGGGCAAACGATTTATTTTGCATTCTTTAGATGCTAACCGTGACAGGGAAAACTTCAAGTAATTACCTTTTTTGCACTGACGGATAACAATATATAATGTCTCGCTTAATACGCACAACATCACAGCAGTAGAACATAGTTTTTAATTTAAGCTTCATATACCAGCTCCAAGCGGGAATTCTGCGACTCCATTCACAGCCACCATGTGGAGTTTTCACTCACAATGCCAATTCATTTATTTTCAAACAAACTGCACATGCTGTGGAAGTTTTATCTTGCCCTCAATACATACCGACCGAATAGAATTTTAATGTTGTTTTCTTTCTATTCATTGTCGAACTGGTCTGTTTAAACTTTGTTCAATTTTAGTGCCAAGGATATAATGAATAAATGCCGGCGTCGTCATTTCATTTGTAAATTGGAGTCCTTCAAACAACAGAATTTATTCTTTTTTCACTACAGATAAACAGTTGAGATTTAATTTGACCGATAATAGCTTTCATAGACTGTCCTAAAAGACGGCGTGGTCTGTTGACTGGAAGCTCTAATACTTGTATGCATGTATACATTTCAGTAAGAAGTATTACGTACAAATAATCAGTCCATAAATTCAGTTCATTTTTCATGAATTGCATACTGTATAGCGCTAAATTCCACTCGCTCTATCCCTTCTGTTGCTAAATAAAGTGGTGTGAGGCATAAAACAATATAAGTATTTAAGAACCATTTCAAATTTCATTATTTTTATTCTCCAAAACCCACCTCTGAACGACTTATCATAATCTGGTGAAGCCATTAGTCTTCACAAAACAGCAGACACAATAAAAAACGTTAATCAAATGTATGACTAAATTAGTTCTTTGTAAAATGCTTTAGTTTCCCCTACTTGTTAAATCATTAACGATATTGCTTTGGTGGTCAAAACAACTGCACTTGGCACCCTTACTTATTGCAAAAATAGAGACGCATTGAACTTATGGTGATTATAGGGTCTAATATCGTTAATTTGCGCTTCTAAAATATTCTTCAAATACGTCTTTATCGCTTCAACAGGCTAATTGAATTTGCTTTCTTCTACTCTTTTGACTTAAGAACACTGGTGTGGCTCTGTTGTCAACCCAGAGAATGGAAAAAGTACATATTTCATCGCCCAAACGATGTTCTCAGTAACTGTTCTAATTAATAGTTGTCAGACATCGATCACGGTCTGTAGAGACTTCACGAAATCAGCATCTGGAAACAAAAAAACCCCTACTTTCTCTTGAGCTTTACATCTTTACAAAGGCTTGTCTGTAGGAAATGAAATCTAACTAAGCATAATGCACAGCTCTTTGCTCACTAAAATGCTATGCTCGATCATTTTGGACAAAAACGGAGGCAGTTTATCTATTATTTTAAATCGAAAGCTAGCAAATGATTGGCACCCGTCAAAAACTGTTTAGTTCTGCGATACCTATTGCGTGTTTTAGAAAGTGTGCCTCAAGTGAAAATGAGGATTACGGCATTAATGGTGACGTTTGCCTTATTCTGTGGTTTGAATTTTCTAAGTGTGACCAGCTCCTTAGCCTGAATATTTTAATTGTTATTTGAGTACTGAAATGTAAGATCAGAAGATAGTTTGCATGTGTTATCCTTTAATTTCTGCAACTGACAGAGCTAAAAAAACCTAAAAGAGCGAGGATTGACAAAACTGTTCGCACCCCTATTCTGAAAGACAAGTTTTGTCATCTACTGCGGGGTTGGTGTCGGTGACTTGACTACTTTGTCTCTGATAAACTGTAGAGGTTCATTTCCTTAAAAAATGCGAAACACCATAAAACGAGTGGAATTGTTTCACTATAAACCAAAAACTGCGACTTAAAGTTGATCATTTCAAAAGTTAACCGCAGTCTTATGTGCCATCGGAGAGGATGAAAGGAACGTAATGCTGACTCTGTGAAAGCCAACACGCCTTTAAAGAGGAAAATTGTCGGTTGTTCTCGAGCAGTTAGAGAAATTTATTTCCTCAAGGAAACAGTATCTTCTGTCTCTTTTTTCTCGGCCCTAAGGATTACATATGATCCCGCCTATACCCGTCCTATCCCCTATCCTGCCTTCGAAACGGAGCATATCCCGGTCTCGCCTTCCTGTTTCCATTCCGCATCCCGCCTTTAAAGTTTCTCATATCCCATATCACGCCTCAATTTAAAGCCTCATCCCCCATCCTGCTAAAACTGTGTTGTACCCTCTACATCCGGAATTTTACAAAGGTAGGAAGGGTGACAATATTCAGAGGGGGATCAAAGGCACAAATGTGAGCCACTAATGGTCCTCCAACTCAAAGAAATCTTATTCCATTTAAGAGAGGATAAATGGCATAAATCACTACAGTTTGTAAAGAA